TTGGAAGCGATGCAGCACCTTTGGTTTGGTTCCATTTTTCTCATTTACTCATGGGAAATGGGCACCGCTGGCAGGACAGCATTTATTGCCCCTCCCTAGTTGCCCTTGAGAAGGTGGTGTTGAGCTGCTTTCTTCAACTGCTGCAGTGCACGTGCTGTAGGTTGTGGTATTCTCACGTGTCTACTGCCCTTGTCCTTCTAGATGGAAGTGGTCATGGGTTTTGAAGGTGCTGTCTAAGGATCTTTGGTGAATTTCTGTCATGTATCTTGTAGACAGTACACAGCACTACTACTGACCATCGGTGATGGAGGGAGTGGATGTTTGTGGATATGGTGCCAATCAAGCAGGCCGCTTTGTCTTGGATGGTGTCAAGCTTTTTGAGTGTTGTTGGACCTGCACCAATCCAGACAAGTGGGGAATATTCCGTCACACTCCTGATTTGTGCCTTGTAGTAGGACAGGCTTTGGTGAGTCAGGAAGTGAGTTACAAAGAGCAGACAGCAGCGGAGGATTCTTGTGGTACAGTATTAGTGCTGGTACCATGTGAGCCAGGAGGCCCACCATAAAATCTGTGTGTGTCATAATATCTCTGAACAGGCTGACAAGAAAATATCTAGTGCCGGCAGCTGAGGGGTTATAGCTAAGAACAGAGACTTAGCTTTCAGGGCTTCAATCCTTTGATCAGGCGCAGAGTGCTCGACAATGAGAGACCACCGCACCCCCCACCCCCTCCCCAGCCTCAACAGTGCGGTATTCCAGAGGCACAGGAAAGTAGCTGGTCTTCTACTCAGTCCTTGAACCACCACAAACTTCTGGTGTATCAGGGACATTTAGTGTCAATTGATCCATTTGTGAGGCCTAATTGACATTTCCATGTGAACAGATGAGATTTCACTTTGGTCCCTTCCTACATCTGAGTGAATCACTGAAGATTTCCTGCTGCCAGCAGATTCCCCTTTGTGAGTTCATGCTTGTTCCAGGTGGTTGTTAACTTTCTCCTGAATTATGCTTTTAAAAGATTCCTCAGCACTGGTGTTAAACTGACTGGCCTGTAATTGCCAGCATTATCCTTCTCCTTGGGGAAATTCTACTTCATTCATTGCGTTCTTGAGATGTGGAAAATTTGATGCACGCATTTTTGTTTATACGTTGCAGGTTTAAAATTGAATTTGCCATTTACTTCCTCAATTGCATAACTGCTGAAATTAAATTTCATCGTCCTCCACTCTATTATGTTAAAAATGTTGAGTACAATAAACAAACAGGGTATCTTTTAAATGTAACATTTTGCAGCCTGTTCTCAGTATTAGTAATGCATCTTCTGGAAAATCCTGCTACCTATAAAATGCTACCAATTTCCCAGAAATTAGTCCTATGATATTTCAGGTTTATTATCTGTGCCGTGCTAAAGGTTGTTGCACACAGGTATCAACTGAGTCACAAAGGTGAGGTATGAGTGAACCATTTTATGCATTCTGCTTCCAATTCACAGTGAGCAAAAGTTCACAGCAAACAGCTTCCAGATGCTGTTACAAAAGACAACACCAATCAGAAAGCAGTAAGAATATTAAATGGAAAGGTCATGCTGGTGTAGTAAGGCAACATTCTTTAGAAGATCTGGTAGTGAAGGGAAAGTTGTAAACTGTAGGAACCTTTGATATACCTGACATGAGATTACTTTATGCTGTCACTTTGGACAAAGAGCAAAAATATTCACCTCCAAGCCCTGTCATCCCAGCATTTTATGAGCACAGGAAGTTCATGCATTAAAGACTAGCAATAAAAGTAGAGCAGAGCATGAGTTCCACATTCCATAACAATGTTGGAACTGGGCCAATGAAAGAGAAAAACAAAATTAAATTCCTCTCTTGATACTTTGCACAGTGGAATATATATACCAAGGTGAAAACAAATGTTAGAAAGAGAAGGGCAGATGTTACAGATATTTCCTATTTTATTAATATCATGAAAAATATCTGTTTATTTTGTATGTGATATTTGGGACTTGCAACAGTAGATGTCTTCATTATAGTTTCCTCTAAATTATAATATGATAAAATCTTCTTTGTTAGTTCACGGCCAAATCAAAATGGTAAAGTCTGTCAATACTACTGCAAATACTTTATAGATCCACATCATGACACATCCCTTCCCTCCTGAAGGAGGATTTTGCGTCCTTTTTTGCTACAATGCCAGATTTGTCCTATCTATCAAATTATAACCAGAGCATCATTTGCTGTAGCTTCCTTTCCTGTTCCTGCATCATTGTCTTTGGCTTTTCCCAAGCCTCTTTCCTATTTCTCATCTACATGCTGCCCCACTGACACAGGCTACCAGTTACAAAAATGCTCTTCAATCATCATCCTGCTTCCTGCTACTCAGCCAGTTCTGTATCCAATTTGACAAATTTCCTTTGATCCCTTGGGCTCCTACCTTCTGTTATGGACCAAATCAAACCCCTTCAAAATATTTTAAGAAGTTAGCCTAGACCCCAACATTTTCTTATTTTAAAGGTAACTGTAAGGCGTTATGTTCCATATGCAATTTGATTGGCCAAATTACTTGACTTTAAACAAGACACCCTTTATTTTTACACTATGGTTAAAATACAGACAAAATAAAATAAAAGAATTGGCTTCACTGTAGCTCTATCAAAATGCTTCACCAAATAACATATATGTATAAAGCACTACTTGTTAACTGTTCCAATATAGTAATATCCCATAAACACACCCTTGGCAAGGGCAAATTCAGTAAAACTGGATTGTCTCACATGCAATTCTAGCGTAGGAAGAGAACCCAGCTTTTAGTTATAACAGAGAGAGGAATAAGAGTTTCCACATCCAGTTTCAAGACTCCAGCAGCTGCAGAAAGCTAAAACTAAAAATCCTGGTCCTGTGTGAGCTTGACCCTACCATTCAGGCTGCTTCTATTGTTCCAACTTTAAAAATAAAACCAAGGCCTCACAAGCTGTCTATTTTATTGGCTTTGAGCAGACTGCTCCCAGCACTGTCTCAACCTTCCTTCATAAAGACAAGGACAAAGTACACCTCTTAAAGCCATAGTATCATCACAATTCACCGTTGGTCTCCCATGCAGACTCTTATCAAAAGCCTTGCTGAAGTCCAAGGAAACTGCATCAAGTGCATTCTCCTCATCTTACACACCTTGTTCCCACTTCAAAAAATTAAATCAAGCTGGTCACACAAAACCATGCTGACTATTTTTAATTAATTCCTGCCTCCAAATGCAGGAATTTCTATCCCTCAGACTTGCTTCCTTTAGTTTTGCCACCTCTGAGGATAGACTGACTAGACTGTGGTTTCCTGGCTTATCTCTTGCTCCCTTCTTGAATTACGATACCACGTTGGCTTTCTTCCAGTCCTCTGGCACTTCTCCTGTCGCCAGGGAGGAATTGAAAATTATTGCCAATGTCCCTGCTATCTTCTTCCTTGCCTCACTACCACTATGGTCCTTAGTGGCCCTGCTGTTTCCTTAGCTTTCTTTTTATTCTTAATGTACTTGTAAAATAACTAGGGATTGTCCTTCATTTTACCTGCCATTATTGCTCATGGTGCCTCTTTGCTATCCAGATTTTCTCTCTAAGTTTCCCGTTACACATTCTGTATTGTCTGGGGTTTCTGCTACTTTCACCACCCCTCCCCATCTCCCCAACCCAGATCGGCCGTAAGCCTGCCATTTTCTCTCTGTATCCAATCCCGTATAACCCTTGATATCCAGTGTTCATGGGATTTGTTAGTCCAACCCTTAGTCTTTATTGGAACATGTGGGTCCTGTGCTCTGACTAGTTCCTTGTTGAATGAATCCCACTGCTCTGACAAAGACTTACCAAAAAGTATCGGTTCCCAGTCTGCTCTGACCAAATCAGACCTGATCTTATTAAAATCGGCCTTCTCCCAATTTAAAACTTTGATTTAAGCCCCATCCTGTCCTTTCCCATAACAATCGTGAATCCAACAGGAGTTATGTTCACTGTGTACAAAATAATGCTTCAAGCCACTGATATTTCAACCACTTGCGCAGCTACGTTACCTCAAATTAAGTCCAGAACCATTCTGTCTCTTGTAGGACTTGCTACAAAACTCAGCAGGACAAACAAGGCAGGAGAATACACATTGAACAATAGGACACTGGGAAGCATCAAGGATAAGGGGGATATTTGCATGTACACCAGTCCCTTAAGGTGGCAAGACCGGTAGATAAAGTGGTTAAGAAGGCATATGGGATACTTGCCTTAATTAGTCAAGGCATAGAGTTTAAAAACAGGGAGGTGATGCTGGAACTGTATAAAACCATTAGGCCAAGGCAAACGTGTTGTGTGCAGCTCTGGAATTCACGTTATAGGAGGAAGGTGATTGCACCGGAGAGGGTGCAGAGGAGATTTACCAGGTTGTTGCCTGGGCTGGAGATTTTTAGTTATAAGGAGAGACTGGTCTGACTGGGGTTGTTTTCCTTGGAGCTGAGGAGACTGAGCAGGGACGTGATTGAGATGTCTAAAACTTTTGAGGGGCAGACAGGGTAGATGGCAAGAAACTTTTTCACTTGGCAGAGGAATCAACGACCAGGGGTCATAGATTTAAGGAAAGGGCAGGAAGTTTAAAGGGGTTATGAGGAAAACTGTTTCACCCAGAGAGTGATGTGAGTCTGGAACTCCGTGCGTGTAAGGATGGTAAAGGCAGAAACCATCATAACATGTGAGAAGTATTTAGATGTACACTTGCAATGCCAAGGCATACAATGCTGTGGGCCAAGTGCTGGAAATGGGTATTAGAATAGTTGGTCGTCTGTTTTTGACTGGCACAGACTTGATGGACCAAGAGGTCTTTTTCTGTGCTGTCGACGTCTGTGACCTTTACAACTCTAATACCGATTAGGATTTTGCATAATTTCTATATAATTAGGTCTCTACCTGGAGGACAATGCTAACATCTTCAAATTGACAATATAAGGAACTGTGCATTGTGCTGAATATTTTTCCAGGCCACTAATTAAGCTAAGTATCATCTGGAAGAAGGACGGGGTTCCATTCAGAAGTGGGTTCAGTGATTTCCACCGGAAACTGACCATCCTAAATCCGAAAATACGTGATGCTGGGTACTATGAATGCGAAGCTGTTCTCCGAAGTAGCAGTGTTCCATCAGTTAGCGCAGGGGCCTTCTTGTCAGTACTGGGTGAGTACCTGGAAAATTCCCAGTTCTATAATGAGTACCTGCATAATAGATACAAAACATTTTACAAGTTCATTCACAGAACATTTACAAGTCTGGAATCAGCTTTGAATTGCTTCATTTAACAAACTATTGAAAGGGGTTAAATGACTTGTTGTTTCATGGAACTAACCACTGCTTTATTTGTATATAACTGCTATCAATTTTGTTGTAATTTTTTTTCAAAAGACACCAGGTTCTATCCATTGCTGCCCACTCACTATTAAGATCTCATTTCCTTGTCATTCCGGTCAGGTGCAAGTGCTCTTAGAGAATTCTGAGTCTACAGTGATATCACACAGCTGCAGCAGACTGATGTTTTTGTTCTGACTGGACTGCAAAATGGTTCCCTTTCAATGTTTCTTTGTCAAAAGCCATATCTATAGCTGATCTACCACAGCATTGCACATAGTGAGTTAGACAAAACAAAGTATTATGATGCATGAAGCACAATATAATATCAAGAGCGTTCATTTAGTTTTAATTAAATAAGTCAAGTTGTATTTTTATTGCAGAATGTCACAATGTTAGTGATAACTTCACCATCAATCCATGAATATTTGCATATTTGCAGAGAAACTGTATATCACTAGTGCTGATTTCTTATGAACCTTAAAGTATGCATTTAATTTTAGCCATTGCCTTGTTTAAAAACAAAACACACTGATGCTGGTGATTGAGAAAAGTTTCCAGGTTTTGGGTAAGGATGAGGTACAATGCTGCAATTGTGTATAGAGGTATTAAAAAGTGGGATAATGGCAAGGTGAATATTTGGACCTGGATTTTCACTCCCAGTGTGGATGCACCCACCTCAGGATAAGCCACCTGGAATGGTGGGAATTTCACTCTGGGTTGGTGGACAGGAGTGAGATGAAATCACGCTCATCCCAGATGAAAATCAAAGGTGACTACAGAGACTGCTGAGTGCCAATATAATCCATTTAAAAGGCCCACCTCTAAACACTGGGACTTTATTTTGTTTTCTCAAACATTAAGCTATCTGACCCTCACGTGCTATCCAACTCCCATGCTCATAAATCCAACCCATACGTCCACCCACCCCAAGACAAACTCTAGGCCATGAGTGACAATTCTTGCCAAAATATGACCCCAATTCAGCCTCATCGCCACTTATTTCCCCTGTGCTGATTTAGTGTCATACCCATCTCCATCCATCACCCATTGCTGTTACACTGTCAATGCCAATTTACTCAGTATCCACATGGGTAGACCATAGGAGGTAAACTGAAGTTGAAAAAATTCTAAATATCTACTACAGACTTCACTGTAAGAAATAAAAACCTCATTCATGAAAGCCAATTTAAGGTACTTAGGTTCTCCAAAACTACAACAGAATGTGTTTGTGTGCTCTGCGACACTGGATCTCACTCTGTTTTATACAATTGGAATGGATCTACTGATTAATGATCTGACTGCAATAAAAAATCATTTCATGTCATGGATCTGGAAAATTGCCTGGCCAATTCATACTATTAGGGAGATTATGGTTTGAGAATGTAGTGAAACATATCCTCAGGATGATTAAAGTTTTATCAATGATAATTTTAATTCACATTTTGTCAACAGAAATATTTCCATAGGACTCAAAGTTTACTTTAAAAAATTCACATTCAGTCTTTCATTTCTTGCAGAGCCGCCACAGCTAATCCTGGAACCAGAGCGTCACATGACAGCTGAGATAGAGAAAGTAGTGGATATTCCGTGTCAGGCTCAAGGTATAATTCACAGACTGTTTATTGTTTATTAAATTCAGTAGGAGCATTATATACGAATGAGGCTGGATATTAAGTGATACATTATATTTGAGGTACTCCTTTTCCTGGTGACTGCCTGTATTCTGTAATGTTGAGTGATCACTCGGCATCTGAATGAGTAACCATTTTTACATTGTTTTGGCAGGTGACACATTTTGTTCCCTCAGATCCCTGTGCGTGAAATCACGAAATGAAATTCAGGACTTATGCAATTTTATTGAGTTGGTTTGAGAAATACATTTCTTTTTTTTAAAAATGCTTAGAGTGCAAATTCTCTGAAGAGCTGCTGCTAGGTACCTTTCCTGTCATGTTAAGATATGAAGAACAGTCACAAAATCACAAATTAAAATCCATGAAGTTTCAGAGTTCTTAAACCATATGGGACATGAAATAACTCCACAGAGGCCAGTATCCCATCACCAAGTCACCCTTTATTTACAGATGGAAAGTCCTTGACACTGATCCAGTTCCCTCAGAACCAACTCTCAGAATGAACAGAACCTCTGAAACTCCTGTTTATATCTGTCAGCCAGGGCTCCCTTATAGAACCGGATTAACAGACCCAATTAGGGAATTCATTCTATGAGGTCCACCTGGCTGACCCCATGACAATCACTACATCCCTGCCCCTCTGAGTCCAAGGACATAGGCTGGTTCTTTTTTTTGTAGCACCGCGTCAGGTGTTTTAACACCAGGTCAGGTTCCTCTGACTCTGCGACTGTTACAGGCAAGTGTGTAACACACAGTAGCTGGCCTCTTGCACCCGGAGCATCTCGGAAGAAATTCATTCTCCTCTTCAGCGGCAAAGTCATCAAGATGGCAACATCCACCATGTCTACCTCAGATTGCAAGGTATCTTCAGTGCTTAATGGAGAGGGAGAAACTTTGGGTTCTGGAACAGTTGGAGAGCTGGGCACGTTTTCCTCCTGCACCATTAGTGAGATTGCAACTTTCAAATGGTCCATGTACTTGTTCAGGACCGTCACACCTACCTGAACTTTTTATGTCACTGGACCTGATCTCGTGTTGACCATGCCTCTTACCCATACAGGGCCATTCCTGTGGTTCCTACACCAAACTTCATCCCCTGAAGTAAACTGTCTCTCTCACTTAGTAGAGTCATCTGTCAGGCATTGGCGTTTCTGATGCCATTTCACACTGTGCACCCCCACCCCCCACCAACTCCAGGTTTGAGAAGATCAGATTTAACCTGGTGCAGAGTCTTCTCCCCATTAGCAACTCTGCTGGAGCTATCCCTGTAGTTGTGTGCGGGGTGGTCCTATAATCAAATAGGAACTGGGACAGTTTGGTATCTAGTGAAGCTGTGGGCTGTTTCTTTTAGCCGGGCTTCATAGTTTGGATTGCTCTTTCTGCCAGCCTATTGGATGACAGATGGTATGGAGCAGTCCTTACATAACAAGTAGCATTCAGTCACCCTTTGTTTACATGTGGAGAGTTCTTGACACTGGCCCAGCTCCCTCAGAGTCAGCTCTCAGAAAGAGCAGGATTTCTGACATTCCTGTTTATATCTGTTAGACAGGGCTCCCTGATTCAAACAAATCAACAGCCCCGATCAGGGAACTCATATTCTATGAAGTCCATCTGGCCGACCTCATTACAATTACTACAGGCCACAGGTGCCAGGTTTATTTCCCTGTTTCTACTGAGTCACATATTTTCAGCCATGGCTGGAATTTGAGTGTTAAAATTTGATTCAACGCCTTGAGGACAAAAGGAAAGCAATTGCCAAGAGTTAACAATTCCGATTACTGGCCATTGACCCTTCTTTGGAAGTTAACATGTGGATGTCAGATGTGAGCAAGAATGTGTTGAGTGGTGATTTTTATTGTTGTTGAATAACCAGTTGTCGCTAATAGTCCATATCAAACATGAAGAACAGATGGTCAAAAAGGCATACAGCACACATGCCTTCGTTGGCCAGAGTATCGAATATAAAAGTTGACAAGTTATGTTACAGCTGTATAAAACTTTAGGTAGGCCACATTTGGAATGTTGCGTGCAGTTCTGGTTACCATACTACCAGAAGGACATGGATGCTTTGGAGAGGGTGCAGAGAAGGTTTACCAGGATGTTGCCTAGTCTGGACGGTTTTAGTTTGGAGGAGAGGTTGGATAAACTGGGATTGTTTTTACTGGAAACAAGGAGGCTGAGGGCTAACCTGATAGAGATCTGCAAAATTATGAGAGGCATAGATAAGGTGGATAGTCAGAGGCTTTCTCCCCAGGGTGTAAAGATCAACTACAAGAGAGCACAGGTTCAAGGTGAGAGAGAGAAAGTTTAGGGGAGAAGTGCGAGGAAAATGTTCCACACTGAGTGTGGTGGATGCCAGGAATGCACTGCCAGTGCAAGCACGTTAGCAATGTTTAAGGCCTATCTTGATAGACACATGAATGAGAGGCGAACAGGGAGATAGAAACCACATCTGGGCAATAAGTAGCAGTTCTAAATAAGGAATAGGAATCAGTGCAGGCTTGGTGAGCCGAAGGGCCTGTTCCTGTTCTGTATTGTATTGTATAATAATTTCATCATCAAGGCATTGGATGGCTGTTGGCATCCCTGCAGTGATAGCCCAGCTTCAATCGGCACCTGTGGGATCAATTTACTATTTATTCCAAATCCGGTTCCTGTTCCTGGGATGAATGCATGTTACACTTCTGTAATGCTGTTCCTTAGTATATTCTGGTAGAATGTATTACTGGTATGAAACATGCACTGAGACTGCCACAACATTTGTATCTGGGAGGAGCAGAGAGTGCAAAACGATGTGACATTAGGAGGTTATGAAATTGGGCAGTTCAGATGTGCTTTGAACAACTAAGAACTGGAAAATTTCTAAAGCAATGGGTCAAGGTTGTGTTTGTTATGCTGGTAAAATGGATTATTACAAAAGAGCAATTTGACAATTTCAGGCTCTAAATATTATTTGTTCAAATTTCCAACTTTGCATATTTTCAGTGTTCTAATTTAAATTAGTTATGTCAAAAGTCTTCTTGGATTCAATGCATGTTCTATATTTATTGGCAACCCCACCATAAGGAGATCATGGTGCACATGAAAGAATACCAACAATGTATAGTAAACTTGCTTCCTGGAAGTACTTTATTCAAGCATCACATATTTATCAAAGATTTCAATCATTAATTTATGTGATTGCAGGTGTCCCATTGCCAGTGATATACTGGTATAAAGATGCAACACTGATCACAAGGTTAAATGTGCCCAGATATAAGGTGCTATCCAATGGCAGCCTACAGATCAGTGGACTGATGCCTGATGACACGGGCATGTTCCAATGCTTCGCTAGAAATGATGCTGGTGAGGTGCAAACTTTCACCTATCTTGCTGTTACCAGTAAGTAAATTATCATTTAAGCTATTCTGATAACTGTCATCCAGTCTTAACTTAGTTGACATTTCTGGATTGATGAGCAATGCCGCAATTATACAAATCTAAACTTCTAAGGATGACATTTTCTTTCATCTTTAGAAGAAATCTGAGGGGTCTGAAGGTTTTGTATGGCTTCTCTGTTGAATATTGTGAACCATGGAGGGTGTTTTACTTAAACAATGGAAGTGTTTGATTAGGAGAAACCACCATAGACTTACCATCTCTGGGTCATATATATGTTGCCTGGCCATACGGGTTGGTTGTGGCACTCCCTAAGTGATCTTTTCCTCTACAACTAATTAAAGTTTAGCAAATGTGCCAGCCAATAATGGGTGGAGTGTGAGAGGTGCCATGTTGATTTTTGGAGACCAGTCAGCAGCCCTCACACAGCCTGCACACATTGAGCAGTTTGGAAGTAGTAGAGACCAAGGGAGTCTGTGGTGATCGGCTGGAATCAGAGAATGGGTGGTAATCATCTATAAGCCAGTTTAATTAAAATGCGCTTTTAGTATGAATCTTAAATGACTTCCAGTCAATTGCATAAATCAACTAGTCACCTGATACATGTAAAACAAAACATAGTGGGATAGATTTTCAACTAGGTATTTTCATGTAAAACGAACTCCTTACATATCAGTGCCAGTTATATATTACCACCTAATTTTCTTCATCAATGTCCACCTGCAATTGGCTTTATACCTGGGTGGCAAGATAAGAAGATCATCCTATATGTAGAGCCCATAGAAGTTTCAGGTTGAAATCAAGATCAAAATTATTTTGGAAAATGATTTGCTGCCCCTCCCTGAACAAACATCCAAGATGCATTGTTATTGGCATATATCATTACTGCTTTATTCCACTTGACTTAATGAGGGTCAGACTCTTTCTTATCCCTTCAGTTCAAACTACTGTATTCACAGAAATTTGATCATATAATATTTGAAAAAGTGGTATTTGATGAAGGACCTCTGCAAATGTGATTGTATTTGCATTGTTGCATAAAACTTAGATCCTCTGTGGTTCAGTATCTTTGTTCGTGCTTCATGTCACCAGTTGTTGTGCAAGAACTTCCAAGAACCAGGATGCTACCAGTCAAAAATAGGGGGAACCAAGGGCAGGGAAAGGGGAAAGATTTGGAAGGGTTTTGCAAGGAGGAAATTGGAGAGAAAAAGAATTCATTTAATATGTCAGGCACTAAAAACATAATAAATGACCAGGAGACAGGTCCTGGAGATTCATGCGGTATTCCAGGAGACCATCCAGATATCTGGGGCATTTGACCATTCTATATTTATGTTGAATCAAGTGTGTAGGTATAAAATCTAATTTCTTTCCAGTATTGACTATTGGATAATATTCAAGATATATTACGTACAATTAATATTGCTTTAACAAAAATAACATTAATATTGCTACAAAATAAATTTGGAACAACATCACTCAGCATACTGAGATTGATTAATTAGTGTGAACAACAGTATTAATTTTTTATGATTGTTACAGGCATTTCTCCTAATATTACTAAGGGACCATCAGACAGCACAGTGATTGATGGGCTATCAGTCATTCTTTCTTGTGAAACATCAGGGGCACCACGGCCAGCAATCACCTGGCAAAGAGGCAAGTATTAATATGTAACTGCTGTTGTATGCAACACATTTCATGAGTGTTCCATTTCTTTCAATTTGCTAACTCCAGCATTTCTGTACTGTTCATTTCCACAATCTGACCCTGTCTTGTTCGCATTACATGGGTTTAATCATAAATTCTCAATAAATCTAATGTGGATGCTGGAATTGGTCATGGCCAGTAGCTGATAACTCATGAACATGACACATATGCATTTAAGTCATTCATAAATTTGTCAGTTTTGCAGCATCTTCCTTGCTGTTGTACAGAGTGATATATGTGCTCCTGGCTTTTACAGATAGACTTATGTCTCAGGTGCCTATGGTTAGACCCAAATGATGGACCTAAACTGATGGTAGATTTTTACTTTAGCTACTGCTAGCATTCAATAATTGGAAGTACAGAAGAAATCCTCCCTCCAAATGGAGCTTCCAGGCTTCCAAAGGCTATTTTCAAGTCATTTCCTCCAATAATGTTGCTTCTATTTGGAGAGATCCTGCAAAATGGATTCAATGTGAAAGACCATATGTAGCCTTTTGTATGTGGTACATCCAACAAGAGTGTTAACAATAATGAGATGACTCTGACTTGATCTTCAACAGAAAACAACAAGACTATAAGTACCTTGTATTAAAATTAAGTTTCATCATTATTGATACACTTCACTTGATCAGTATTACATTTTAATCTTCATGAAATCACACAAATGATTAAATAAACTGCATTTCGTATATATTCCTTGGAAGAACAAATGCTTTTTCAAAATATTTCCTGATCCCTCGTCTGGTAGGTAAAACCATGCCCCTGCAATACTAACAACTCACCAATAATCCAAAAAATAAATTAAAAACAAGCAATTGTCTGGTCATTCAGTCAGTAGTTGTTTGTGTAATCTTTTACATATTCATTCATGGGATTTGGGTTCACTGGCTGGACCAGCATTTATTGCACATCCCTTATTGCCCTTGAGAAGGTGGTGGTGAGCTACTTTCTTTACCGGCTTCAGTCCATTTAGTGTAGGAAGGGAGTTTCAGAATTTTTACCCAGTCAGTCTGAAGGAATCCCCCTCTGAGAGGAATAGTTTTTCTCTAACAAGGTTTGTACATCTTTGGAATTCCCTTCCTCAAAAGGCAATGGATGCAGTATCTCTAAATGGTTCTTGATTACCAAGAGATGAAAGATTGTTGGAAATATGCAGAAATATAGAGGTGAGGTTAAAATCAGTCATGATCATATTCAATGGTACAGCAGGCTGGAAGGGTAAAATGACCTACTCTTCTTCTTTGTTTGTATGATATATTACCAGATCAGGATAGTGATTGGCTTGGAGGGGAATTTGCAGGTCATGGTCGTTCCATGTATCTGTTGCAACCGGCCCTTATGCCATTTAATCCAATAAAGTTTAAAAGCCAGCAGCTTGAGATATTGAATATTGCTGAAAAGCGAGCAATGCTGCTGAAGTTCGTTTTTCTTGCACTCGTCAAATCCTCACAGCAATTTGTACTGTAGGAGAGAAGGCTGCTGATTGGTTGGCAAGTCAGTTCTGATTGGCTGAGGTATCACTATGGAGAAAACAGTGAGGAACTATCAGCTCCCAAAGCTCCCGAGTTACAAAACACAAACAATTGAGCTCATATTGTGGCTGCTTTATATTTGCTAGAAATGACATACATTCATAAACGGCGATCCATTCTTTGCAAATAAAAGGAATACTTACAAGTCTTGTGCCTTCTCTGAATTACCTGGGCACCTGAAACAATATTCATGTTCTTGAAGTAGCTGTGCCCAGTCTGGACTTCTGGATTCCTAGCATTCACTGCTGTTGGGTACACTCTCACTCAATCCAGATAACCTTTAATGGTGTGTCCAGTAATAATCTTCGGTCACTGTTTCTTTTGAACTCAGACAGTCCCCTTTCTTGACCAGTGTGCCATTCTGTTTGTACTAACTCACCCTTGCCATTTTTCACTTACTCTCAGCATCCATTTTCATGTCTTCTCCACCTCACCCCCAGCAGATTTTACTATCACTAAAAACTAATATAGAGTAGTTTTCTGCAATTAACTGCCCCAGGGCACTTTACAGAGGGTTTATAAAACAAGGTGTTACAGCAGGCCACATAAGGAAATGTTAGGTTAGATTCAGAAAAATCTGGTCAAAAATCGTGGTTCTGAGAACCTCAAGGAGAAAAGTGTGATGGAAAGGTGTAGAGATGTAGGGAGGGTATTCAAGAGCCTGAGATCTCAGTGATTGAAGGCATAGCCACCAGTGGTGGAACAATTAAAATTGGGGACGCCCAAAGGTCGTGGTAGAGGATGTTCTGCAATAGGGAGAGGCAAGGCCTTGGAAGAATTTGAAAACTGAGTGAGAATTTAAAAATTAAAACAGTGCCTGACTGGGAACCAATTTAGGTTAACAAGCATGAGGGCTGATTGGGGAATGTGACTTGCTGTGAGTTAGATGAATGGCATTGGTTGAAGAAGGCAGCTCACCACCACTTTCTTGAGGGAAATTAAGGAGGGTCCCAGCCAGTGATGCCCATATCCCATGAATGAATTTTTAAAAATGGTATACTGAGTTTTGGAAGCTATCACATTAATAGAGGGTAGGATGTGGGAGAGTAGACAGGAATGCATTTTAATAATCAAAGTAAGGACTATTCCATTGGTATGTATGAGTGTCTCAGCTATGATGAACTGACACAGGATGAAGTTGGGTGATGCTGCACTATTGCATGGTTGAAGGGATGGCATAAACTTGAGGGTACGATTTCATTTCTGGATCAAACGTGATAGCAAGAATGTCCTTGGGTACCTCCTGAAGAAAAGTAGCAACTAATTTTGGCATAGTCGATGGGCAGGATTTCCATTTTTGAGAGGTGGCAACGTAATGGTTTTGTATCATGAGAGTGGAGTGTTTTTATTTTATAAAGCAATCAGCATTTCCAACTGATGGTTTATTTGTGCCTTAGTTGTGGTACTGTAGTGTGGACTGCAACTTAAATCCAATGATCTCTGAATTTCTATTTCTAATTATAACAGGAGAGAAAGTACTTGCCAGTGGGTCTGTCCAATTACCTCGCTTCACACTACTGGAATCTGGCAGCCTTCTTATCAGCCCTTCCCACATCTCAGATGCTGGGAGTTACACATGTCTGGCTATCAATTCTCGAGGAGTTGATGAGGCTTCTGGAGATCTCGTTGTGTGGGGTAAGAGATGATACCGTTTGGAAAATGGAAGTATCTTCTAACTACAAATGCTCCATACCTTTTTTTTATATCAAAAATATACTTTATTGATAAAATCATCTTTATTTACAGACATAGTCACTATAGCAGTTTGATTCTGTATGCAGTCTCTACATAAGTAGAACAAACAAACCCAAGACATTTCTTATCTGTACAAGACTATATTTACATGCATTTGAGGCACCAGGAGGGTCTGATAACTGAACAGACTCCCATTTAACTTCAGCAGAAAGACCTTAGATGGTGGTCTTTCCCCACTGCACGTTGGCTGCAGCTGCCCCAAGCGTTAGTGTGTCCCTCAGCATATAGTCCTGGATCTCAGAATGTGCCAGTCTGAAACACTCGGTCGATGTCAAATCTTTACACAAGTTTCAGACAGACCAAAGGGAATCTTTCACTGAGTTGATGTTTGTCTCGGTGTGCATTCCGAGGAACAGACCACTCGCCTCCTCCTCCCCCATGGTGCTGTGCCTCTTGTTTTGCTTGTAGCCATCCCTCCACAAGTCTTTATCATCACAGGAGCAGCTGGTGTGTCCATCGTGCAGCTGCCTCTTTCCGTTTTGCTGTGGGACTGCGGTTGTTTCTCACCAGTATCCACTCCCCCTCCTCCTTCATTGACTCTGTTTGTTCAGGTGAATGTTGGGTTGCTTGCTGTGTCTCCGCGCTGGCTAACTTTTCATTCTCTCTGGCCTGTCCCTCCTTCTGGGTGCCTGTCCTTTCAGTTTTCTTGCTGGAGGGTGGCACATTGCTGTCCTTTGGGGGTCCACAGCCTACGTTGCTACTTCTGGCCGTCTGAGTGTGGCACGCACACCCCTCCACTCATATTTTGGGCAGGCCTTGTGTAGGTGGCCTACTTTCCCACACAGGTTGCAGCCCTTGGACTCCTTGCAGTCCTTAGTCAGGTGCCCCTCCTGTTTGCAGTTCCTGCAAAGTGACATGTTCCCTGACTTCCTGCAGGTTCAGCACATTCTGGGCTGCCCCACATATGACAGGTAGCCTTGTCTCCCTTTGATCACAAAGCTGAAGGGTAGGTAGAGAAATTTCCCAGTAGCATCCACCTTTAGGGTTACCTTGACCTGCAGCTTGCTGGTCCAGATTCCAAAGGGGTCCACTACATCGGTGCTGCCTCCTTCAAGCATACGTTCCTTCTCAGGAAGATCAGGACATCTGCTGCTGGGATGTGGGGATTGTAACAACCCGTGCAGGCAGAAGGAAAAACAGTGCCACAGAGAGGGGACCCTCACCTCCTTTCTTCTCAAATACCTTCAGGAGACACTAACATTGTTTCACGCTCCTGATGGTTTCATCAAAGTCGTCCCGGTCGGGAAATCTACAGTTAGAAAGTATCTGCTGCTTAGAACCCACAGCAAATAGCAGGACTCCTCTCAGGAAGATGGCCTGGTTCTCCATATTCTTCACAGGCACCCTGACTGAATTGCTGACCCGTTGGCCTGGGGCACAGGCACTAACAGAGGTCATAGCTCTGGTTGGCTGATCAGCGAATTGGTGTTAGGCTGAAGCCATGAAGATCCACCAATTTCAGCCCAGCTCAGCCTACAATCTTCCACATTCTGCTCGCAGTCACAATCCAGCAATGAATTCAAGACCTTCTGATGATGAAGGTTCTCAGCTCGGACTCTCTATACAGTAACATATCAAGGAAACAAACAAACATTGGAGTTTGACTCTATCCAAACAAACCAAGGACATCTCTTATTGTACAAGACTATATTTACATGCATTTGAGGCACTTGGAGGGTCCAATAACTGAATGGACCCCCAGTTAACTTCAGCAGAAGACCTCAGACAGTGATCTTTCCCCACTGTACCTTGATGGCAACTGACCCAAGCTTTAGTGCGATCCTCAGCAGTCGTGGACCTTGGAATGTGCCGGTCTCAGTCAGGGTCAACTCCTTGTTCTGGAATACCATCAAGTTTAGGGCAGATCAAAGAGTGTCTTTCACCGAGTTGATGGACCTCCAGGCACATTCCAGCAGGAGATGTGTGAAAGTCTCAACCCACCCCCAGAGCTGCTTTGAGGGGAGCGTTCAGTAGCGCAGACTGACTGGGCGTACCAGAATGATAGTGCCCTTCTCACCACCAGCCAAGCGATGTATTGGTGCTTGTTGGAAAGTTTTGGTGATGAGGCATTCTGCCAAATGACGTTGACAGCCTGCTCAGGGAACCATGAGACAGGATCCACCCTCTCCATCTCTCGTACGGTCCTGTCAAGTAAGCTTATGGCAGTGAAATAGAGAAGGCATTTTGATAGGAGCAAATTACTGCAGATTCTGGAATCTGTACCAAAAGCAAAAAATGCCGGAAATCATGGTGAGTCAGGCAGCATCCGTGGAAAGAGAGCGCAAACTAACATTTTAAGTCTCGATGACTCTTCATCAGAGGATTTCCTGTTTCCAGACATTTTGATAACTGTGGTGTGCCAAGCTTCAGGCTTGCATCATGGGCTTTACAATAAACATCAACATCACAGTACACCCCAGTATGATTTGTAATGAGATAAAATTACGTGAGAAACTTCAATCAAGGATGTTAATTAAAACCATAATGAATGAATGCTTTTCAGTTCCTTACTGCCTGAATATTTATTAATTAGATTGGCTCTCCTTGATATGCAAACTATACCTACTTTGCATGCACAGAATAGATTAATTTCAAAATAGACGTTTCTCCGGCTCAAATATCACAGGTGGCCTGCACTGAGAAATACATTGAGATTGTTTTGTTCAAAATCATCTCCTGTTGCTCAGTTGTGTAGCTATTACAGCTGTGGCCCTGCTACTCATTGACTAAAGGTTGCAAGTAAGGAAAAAGCTACTTCTGGATCAGGAAACAAATATTCTCAACCAATTTCTGAGTCTCCTCCGTTTCTGATTCAGTATGGAAAACCTTCATCATCGTCAGAAGGTTTCAAGATCATCTCTGGATTGGGATTGTGAGGAGAACTTTGAGGATTGTCGGGTTGAGTGAGGTGCAATTGGCAGTTCTTTATGCTGGCTTTGGCCGAATGCCAATTCAATAACTCGCCATCCTCCAGCAAGAAAACTAAAATGAGGGACACCCAGAAGGAGGAGGAAAACACAGCCAGCACAGAGGCACAACAACCAACCCAACCTCCCACCTGAACAGACGGCGTCAATGGAGAAGGAGGAAATGAAGGAGGTGGATTAGTGAAAACTGGAGAGACAACAAAATGGAAAGAGGCAGCTGCACGACGGACACACCAGCAGCTCCTCTGACAATGAAGACATGCAGAGGGATGGCCAGCAACACAAAAACAGGAGGCACAGCACCAGGAGGGGAGAAGGAGAGGAGCACCCCACAACCCGGAAACACCGGACGTCATGAGGGGACTGGTGAAGCCCATACCTCCAGCCATTGGGAACCAAGGGATTACCGACCGCGCCGCAGCTCCGGGAAACTGGGAGCAGCAATAAGGAGCAGAGCACGACAGTCCCTCTGCCAGACTGTGAACCAGACCTTCTTGGCTTTTCTCCCGCCCTGACAACTCCGGATCGGGAACAGGACAGCTACCTCAGTGCGGAGAGTGTCCAACAGTTCATCCGCACCACGGGGATGCAAGGAGTCCCCCAGTAACAAGACTGTAGGTGAACGGGAATTGGGTCTACAGGTATTTCTATATACTGACAAAATGGGTTTTAAAATTGCCAGTATTAATGTACATGGTGTTAAATCTACTGTGCAGTGTGTTTTCATGTTGGTTTACCAGGTGAATGTCAAAGCAGACCTCCTGTTTGTGCAGGAGTGCGGGATATTGCACCTCAGCAGCTGCAGGAAATGGTTGAGCTTCTTGGCCCATGGGCCTTCAATTTGGTCAAGGGGGGAAACGATTGCCGTTCGTCCAGCTGAGGTATTCTGCTGCGTGGAGGCAATTCTACCATCTCTGAGGTTAAGGAGGTGGTGGGTGAGTGCCTCCCAATAGCTGATATCATGTACAAAAATGCTCCCCTGAGGCTAATTAACATGTACACCTCGGTGGGTAAAGAGTGAGCAGCTGGACATCCTGCTGGCCCCATCCAGGCTGGTCTTTCTGGCCGGAGATCTCAACTGCATCACCGATGCGGATGGATGATTCAGAGGGGCTGACAGTAAACCGGACACCGCGTCCAGATTCCTGATGGAAACAGTTAAAGTCGCCAAGCTGTATGAGATCTTCAGCACCATCTGTAGATGGAGCCCAGCGTAGATACACCTGGTCATGGCCAGACGTGTCTAATCTGCTCAAGGATAGATTTTCTGTCTGCATCTCACATTCTCAGTCAGACCCACCGACATCAAGCCAGCGTTCTTCTCCGACCACTGACTCCTGCTGGACAGCTGTCACCTACAAGATGATCAGTGGGGGAACATGGAAGCTGAACGTGAAACTGTTGACCCCAGAAACCATTGTGTAGCTCAAAAGGGATTACACAGGTTGGAGAACCATGAAGCATCTCTTTGAGTCTCCAACGGACTGGTGGGAAATGGTCAAGGGGAACATTAAGAGGTTTTTTTATTTATTCTCAAAGATGAGAGAGACATTGGGAAAACTGTCCAAACTTCAAAAAAACATGCAGAACCTACCCCTGCTGCAGACCATGGCAGTCGATGTCAGAGCATCTCCAGCAGGTGAAGAGCCGGCAAGCCTCATTTCTTGCCTCAGAGGCCTCCAAGATAATCTTCCAATCCAGGGTCTGCACCGTGGACAGGATGAGACATGCTCGCGTTTCGTCTTCCGGAAGGTGCACGAGGAGACCAGTCTGAAGGAAGAAGATGGCTCGGTAACATCATCTCAGTCTGACATCCTGAGGATCAGCAAATCTTTTTATGCCAAACTGCATGACACAAAGCCCACAGGCAAGCGCAACCTACCAGTTGTTCGCGTTCTCCATCACAGAGTTCTTAGACAACAGCACACTGGAGAAGCCGGACCAGCCGTTATC